TCAGGAAATTAGAAGAGTGCACAAGAATATATAAACACGGCCTTTGTTCAACATTACGTGCAGTCCACGCGGCCCAACTCTCGGGAAAAGTTAAAATTAGGTTGTAAGAATTGATTTTGGAATTGGATCCTGTTGCGAAACGACCGTGGGGATTATTTGGCCCTCCCGTCGATAGCCCGACATGAAGCCGGGTAACGCCGGCGTGATTATTTGATCGCTCTTTTCCACAAAATCAAAACCCGGGTCATTAAAGTCAAGCGTTATGGCAGGGGTCTGCCTTGTCTGGATTAGTGGGACTGCTGCTATTTGATTCCAAATCAAAACTCAGGGGCAATACAACGACCCATTACACTCAGGCCTCGAAATTAACTTTTCTTCCTATTGTCCCAGCACTGCCCCAAAAATAAATTTCTGAGTCAATTTTCCCAAAGTGAGGATGAACTGTCCCAACCTGTTTTTTTGGAAAGTATTATATGACTTACACAGATTTTAAAATCTATGGAAGGTTTTAGGTGGTTTGGAAAGAAAAGGGTATGTGACATGGATTTTTCTTGTAATAAGTCAATCGGTTCTTCGGAATTTTAGGGTTTTTTTTACTTGAACCTAAACATTTTTACAAGTCCAGAACCAGTCCAGCAAACTTGAGTAGACAGCACATATTGAAAACAGTGCTGAAATGCATGGCTGGAGGCAACCTTTGGCTGTTTATAGGGTATAAAAGTTTGATGATGGTACATGAAATTTGGGATCAATAATCACATAAAGTCTAAAGCACATGATATAAACGAAAGCAATGATGGAAGTGAAACAAAACCTTAGTACTGCTTACACAAATATATTCCATCTAAAAACTCCAAAAGAGGCAGCTAGCTATAAAAGCTAAAGCCATACCAATTTAATGTATATAAGTGGTTCTTGCTGTCACTGCTTCTATTTTAAATTCTATATGAAAATTTTGAAAAAAAAAATTAAACAAAAAAGACCATCTGCAGCAATATACTTCAACACAAAAATGTTCAAGTCAAATTGGAGGAATTTCATTTTCTTCTCGAGTTAAAGTTTCTCCATTCATTTATGCCTTAACAGTTGTTGGTATTGATAAATACTGTTAAATTTGTGATTTCTTGTGGTTAAGCGTTTTGGGACTATCACAGAAGGCTTTGTCCTTTTAATTTTCATTTTTCAGACCCTTTCCAATGATTGGAAATTAATTTTCATGCAAAAATCAGAGAATCAAGAAATGCACAGCCTTACAATGGAATTCCTCCCATTCATAAAACACAGTACATCTGTTGTGCTTCAGCCTGACAGGCCCACTAACCCGACCATGCAAACATAACATAGATGACTGCATGTAAACAATAGGTGGGAGTGGGACTACAAACAGGCTAAAAGCTCCACACACACAATGTCCTGCCCCTGTAATTAGGCCACAGCAAGTAATTTTTATGGATGACATCCTCCATAGACTCTCTAAATATATTTTCAGAAAAAGAATTCCTGAATTAGCCTGGTTACCAGATCAATTTATCAATTATAGCTCCCGAGTCCTACATCCTCTCCGCAAATAGAACACGGGAGCTATAACACTTTTTTATTAACTTTTTAATAGGTCTGGTACCGGTAACCAGGCTGGCGCTATTCCTGAATAGCAGAAATACTAGTAACAGCATATACATGTAAATACTGTTATTTCTGCTGTACAGACTGTTGTTGAATGAACAGCATAATGTCTTGGGAAGGAAAAAAAATTAACTTTCAATGAAATGTTATGCACAAACATTTCGTACTAGGTAGGCTGAATGAATATACATACTGACTGACATTCACAATCTACGAACCAAAGGTTATCATAACCAACACTCAGTAACATCAATCAATCAGACTTTTAAATCCACAACTAGTGTCCCTTGCCCTTAAAATTGTCACACAGAGTGCAAAGATCACAACTTACCTGAGTTACAAATGTATCACATTGTCGCCATGTTTGATAATGATAATCATTAACTGAAGCATCAATATTATACCCATGCAAACATTACCTTTGTTAAACTGTTATTTAGCGACCTATATAACTTATAAGCCAAGAGGTGCTGCCTTGTTGTTACAATGATCTAATGAACTGATATGTTATCAGTGCCCTACATATATATGTGTATCATATCTTAAGGGACTATATACTATACTAATATTACTAGCTTGAGTAATAGTAACTAGTATATGTAGATTGCCCTATCTTATTCACCTTATATTTACCAAGAGCACTGCTGCCTTGTTGTTACAATGATCTAATGAACTGATATGTTATCAGTGCCCTACATACTTGTACATGTACATACAAGTATCTTAAGGGACTATAGACTATACTAATATTAGCTTGAGTAATAATTACTAGACTATGCAGATTTCTATACCTTATTCACCTGATATTTACCTGATATTCACCAAGAAGAGCTGCCTTGTTGATCTAATTATAATGAACTGATATGTTATCAGTGTCCTACATACATGTCTTAAGGGACTGTACTAATATTAGCTTGAGTGATGATTACTAGTGTATGCAGAATGCTATATCTAGTTTGTTATTGATATAATACTGAGGGATAGACATATATGTTCAAATAATAATTGCACGTAACGTTATATGATGTAAACAAAACAGTGACCACTCGTATATATTACATGTTATGATGTATACAGGCTATATAAACACGAAAGTTCATATGACTTCGAGTTGGTAAAATACAACTATGTGTTTTGAGTTGGAGAACAGTTTAATTTCTATAAGCACATATATAAAATAAAAAGATATGTCATATATAATCTATAAAGACAATCATATAACGTTACATCATAATTGAATGGGTTCCTTATAATGCTACAGCATATATGCAGCTTCCCTATATAAAGCATATGTATAAAAGTGGCTTCCAAATAAACAGCATATATATGTATAAAAGTGTCTTCCTTTTAATAGTCGGCACGGTTAGGTCAAACTATGCCCCACGGCGAGACAGTCTGGTATGCCCGCCTGACACCACCAAGGACAGCTGACCAAATTTGTGGCAAAACATCAAAGCCACTCGCTTCGAAACTGACAACTACAAGTTCAGCAAATATTTCAGAAATAAAGGCGTAATTTCTGAATATCGTATCCTTCAATTTTGATCTGGAGAACTAGAAAAAAACAGCTTCTTTTTGTCAATCGCCACTTGTTAGCGGTCCGTTACGCCTTGTTTACCGTGAAAAGTTAGTGGGGGAGGGGGGCACAAAACGGGGAGTTTCTTCACTCTAAAAAGGCTTCAAAAGCTCTCTTACCTTCTACTTTCACTCGAAAGGTTTCATCGTTGCTTCGCTCTACGGTTGCGTTGTTGTCAGGTCCCGTCTTGAAACAGAAAACATGGCAGGAACGAAAATAAACAAAAAAGTTGATGAGAAAGTTGTTTTTACGGTGGGCGGCCGGCGGCCATGTTGATGATGATGCAGCGCCCCCCTGTGTGTTGTGAGTTTGTGCACCTGTTCGAGTGAACAGCTGGATAGACAGAATGAAAGAATGGATAAATAGATGGATAAGCAGTTGGATATAGGAATGAGTGAGTGAGTGAGTGAGTGAGTGAGTGAGTGAGAGTGAGTGAGTGAGTGAGTGAGTGATGAGTGAGTGAGTGAGTGAGTGAGAGTGAATAAATGGAACAAAAGAATGGACGGATATAGGGAATGAATGTATGGTGAGCAGTTTCAAGTAATGAAAGAATGGATGGATGGATGGATGGATGGATGGATGGATGGATGGATGGATGGATGGATGGATGGATGGATGGATGGGTGGGTGGGTTGGTGGGTGCCTGGGTGGGTGGATGGATGCATGGATAGTGCACCAATGACGTGGCCTTGCAAGATATGGGTACAGACATTTATTGTTTAATAAATAAAACGATTGCCATAATGCTGTTAATTCCTCTTTTCCTTCACCAAGATATATGAAATAAATGTATATGACTGTATACAGGTACGATATATACAAATATTAAGTCAGCAATATATAATACTTGTGATTCAGCTGAAATAGATATACATGTAATAATTGTTGTTATGTAGATTATATAAAAATCAAGATTATATTGAATATAACCATGTCATTGCTATCAATTTTTGTCAAAGTAGGACAATTGACATTTGCACAAATCTAATTCAAGTTAACAATCAAACTTGCTTAAAGCTGTGATTGTACAAAATAATATACATTTACATAATATATAGTTACTAACGTTATACTGTGTAAACTTATTCCATACTTGCAAGATATATATATAGAATACATACATACATGTACAGTATATTACACACATTTCTATGGACACAAATATAATGTAACATGAATATTCAGTGATTTAAAAAGGCACATGAAGAAAAAAAAACATGGAATGTTTAAATGCCTGTTGTAACACACTAAAACTTTATGCATCAGACTTGCTATTTCTAACACAACAAAGATTACAGACAAGTACACAGATTCTTTGCCAGTACTATATATACAGCATATGTAAGGTGTATACAATATGGAGAAAGGATATATATGCGCTATCACGTAAAATATAATAGATGGTATATATTACTATGTAACAACTTTGTTGACCACACAGTTATGTTTTCTTTAAAAAAAGGACAAATAGCAGTAGCGTCAAATATTTGCTTTGACTTGCTATCTAGACTGTGCCAGTTACCTAGTAGGATAAGAAAAGATTGCAGCATGAATATATATGGACCACTGATTTGTACATTATTAGAGGCTGCTCTGAACAACAAAAACTGTCATACAGAACCTGCCTTAAAATTGGTCTATTTCAAAAATAATGATCAACTGTAACTTAATTACATTTTAATTTGCCAACACATGATTGTGCCTTGTAACACCCTAAAATCAGTTATAACATTTACAACATTACACATACTGTCAGTTTCATATATATTGACAGTCAAAAAAATTTTGGTAAGTTTGGTCATGGACATTAAAGGCAAAGCTGCTGCACTTGGAGTTGAAAAATCCCTGTTACCATTTACAATTACAGGTGATTCAATAAGTGTCATCTGCCATTTCTTCTTTCACCTGTCCAGGTATTCTATACGTTGGTACATCTTTCTCTTCCTTAATTTCTTCTTTCAAAGGTCTTGTCCCTTTATGTTTCTTGAGGTGTTTGACCAGCGTTGTTTTGCAGGTGCAGGAAAACTCACACTGTTGGCAGGAAAAGAGGGATTTTCGGCTGTGTTTCTTCGCGTGTGTTCGTAGAGTTGAGCGGTCTGCGGCTGCGTAGGAACACTGGCTACACTTGTACGGTCGCTGTCCCGTGTGGATGTTAATGTGATCTAAAGAAAACAAGAAATCAAATATCTCATTGTCATACCTGCAGAAATAGTAGTTTTTTTTACAAATTCTTGTTTTATTCATTATAATTGTAAACTTCTTACTGAATTTGTCTCCCACTGCCTCTCATACAAATGAATTTTATCTTGAAAATAAGCTCTATAAATCTGAAAGCATCAGAAAAAATATGAAGCGGCAGGGAAGGAAAAAGATAAATAAAAACAGGCCGAGGCATCCTATGACAGCCCAAAATGTTATTATAGGAGCCATGATGTCAACATAACAAGCTGGTTTGTAATTTAAACAATGAACTTCAAACTTTTAATCAAACCACTAGATGGAAAAAATCTAACAATTCTGAAGAGAAGGGACTTCCTTCAACTGTTGGGGCCAAAATAAGAGCATTTTGGAGTTGATTCAGAGCTTGACATTTTTTTTCTACAATTCAGAAAAAAAAAGAAGTGGCGAATCCAAGAAGCAACAAATTAAATTAGAGTGGCCTTGCTTCATCTTGTATACCTTTCAGGTCCTGGTTGCGGATGGCGGCGAAGGGACAGTGTGGACACTTGTAGGGCCTCTCCCCGGTGTGGATCCGGACGTGCTTGACCAGGCTGGACCGGTCGCAGCAGGCGTACTCACAGCAGGGACAGGTGAAGGGGCGCTCGCCGGTGTGCGTCCGGATGTGGGTCACCAGATGGCCCTGTGAGGAAAAAAAATACAGGGAGAAACTTAATAAGAAGACACTGAAGACCTCAGCTTACTGACTATTTCCTGAGAGGGGTGAAGGAGGCTATTTACACCGGGGCCATTCATCCTTCACTCAACAGTGACGGGGGCCGACATCGTCTACCAGATATCTTGCTGATTCTGCCGATGTCTTTTCCAACTGGCTCCCATGAGGCAACAAACATACTGTATATAACTGAAAATAGAAGATGGGAGATAATAGATCACCTTTTCTGAGACTTTTGGGACCTCTGATCTACATGTAACTCCCATATATATCTGTGTTCCGGGCATTCCTAGCACATAGATTAATAATACAGAAACACAAGTAAACATACTCTCAGGAAAAGACACACTGAAAACAAAACCTCTATGCACAGAAGTAAAAAGGAAAAAGTCAAATCTTTGGTGTGCACCTACATGACATGTGAATTCAAGAGTCATAAATACATTTTACTGACATTTATATTGTGACAATGCTTTATACCAAGAAGTCTAGAAGTCATAGAAAAATATTTGTAGAAACTGTTGAACAATAGAAACCTTCTATGGCTTAGAAATTATACACCATATAAAAATTATTTAAACATTACATTACATATTACATACTTCTAATATGAACTGCACAATATTAATATACAACTTACCTGTTGTGCAGAGGCAAACTCACACAGAGGACACTTGTAGGGTTTATCGCCCGTGTGAGTGCGCATGTGTCGGACCAGACTGTCCTTCCGCGCTCCGCGGTAGCTGCACTGCGGACACGTGAAGGGACGCTCGCCGGTGTGCGCACGAATATGGCGCTCAAGGTCCACCTACAAAGCAATTATGTATTAGTGTAGTCAGGATTCTCAACAGGATATTTTCACAGCGTAGGGGTCGGGTACAAGAGAGCAACTTTAGCGATGCAAGTCGATCGTGCATTGAGTCCCAAAAATATGACCACAGCAGGGGTCTTGTATTCTCCCTGAAAAAACTTTGAAACTCATAACCCCCAAGACACTATTTCTCGCTTATTGAGGGACAGCACAAGCTCATATTTGGGATTGCATTCTCACCACAAAAGCAACATCTACATCGGCTACGTACAGCAGTGAGAAGCAGAACTCCAGTCAGAAGCTCCAAGGAAGGTGTCTGATAGACACTGAAACGTCAGCTAGGTACTACCTTTTGGTTGTGTAGAAAAGAAATCCCCTATATCCTATACAAGTTATCGACCCGATGAAACTATTTTCAGATCTCTCACCTTCAGTTTGGCGGTGTATGTACACATGTGACACGTGTACGGCCTCTCCTCGGTGTGCGAGCGCTTGTGCCGTCTGTACGTTGTCCAGTCCCCGGTGCTGTACCGGCAGATCGGACACTCCCACATGCGGTGGAGCTTGGTGTGCTCCACGTACTGAGACTTCCGCGGGGACTCAAACTCACACTGTCCACACTTGTACACCTGGTAGGGCACAAAATGACTTATGAATATGAATTGCTGTATCTTTATCTAGCTCTAAAAAGAACAAGAAAATAGTCATGCCTTCGTGCCTGTGGATGATTGATTGATTCATGTAGCTATAAACCAAGGATTGAAGGATGCAAAAGTATTGCTGAGTAGAACTTAGAAATTACTGCCACCAAGTACAGCACAAACAAGCTGGTGTGTTGCACTGAAGAGCAGTTTTATCATGACCAGCTATACAGATATACTGTATGTGTATAGATACAGAAGCTGGAGTGTTATGTCAAAGGGCAGTTTTACCAGCTTTACAGAATCGAATACAGATCTAGAAGCTGGTGTGTTACACTGAAGTCTGAACAGATGTAGATACAAAATCTGGCATGTTATGTCAAAGGGCAGTTATACCGGCTTTACAGAATGATACAGATCTATTGTGTTACAGTAGGGCAGATACAAAAGCTGGCATGTTATATATGTTATACCAGCAACAGTTACAGTTACAAACCTGGTTGAAGATTTCTGGGTGGGCAAGCTTGAGGTGCACGTTCAGACTCTGTTCATCCGTGGTTCTGTACTGACACTCCTGACACGACACTCTCAGCAACTCCTTGTGTTTAAAGCCGAAGTGTCGATGGAGGTGCTCCTTACGCATGGCGGAGTAACGGCAGTGTGGACACTTGAAAGGACGCTCACCTACAACAACGCAAACATACAAAGAAGAAAACACCTGTATGATAACAGTTAAACTTTACGTGACCAACACAAAGTAAATTGGGACTTACCCCAAATTTATGCTAAGAAAACACCTGTATTCGTAACATATCAACAGTTTTCACCTTTTATTACTTCTGCATATGTTTGTTTTCTCTTATTTTATTTGATTTATTTTATATACTAGTCTTGTATTTATTTTGTGAAATCTTGGTTCATCTTGACTCCAGGAAGAATAGTGATGTATATATTATCACTAATGGGAGCTTCCTAAATAAACAAACAAACAAATAAACAAACAAACCTGTATGTTTCCTCACGTGCCTTTTCAGGTGCGACGACTTCATGGCAAGATATTGACAGTACGGACATTTTAAGATCCGTTGCGGTTTGGGAACGGGCGCGGGAATTTGATTGTCGCAGTTGGATATTGCACCTTCTTTTGGGTCAAAAGGAATTAAGCAAGGTGGGGAAGAGTTATTGTCGATTGTGTCATCTCCGGAATGGTTGTAGATGTCTTCTTCATTGTCGTCACTCTCACAATCGAGGATAACATCGAGCATTGGTTCTGCTTCTTTGTCAGTTTTGTAAACGAGGCTGCTAGAAGTTTGTTGTCCACTCGAGTCGTGTTCATTGCATGAGGAGATGTCATATTGATTGTCGTTTTCTGTTTCAACATCAGAAGCACCACTGTTGATACCTCTTCTCTCTTGTGTCGTTGTTTCCCTACTATTAGTACTTAAAGTATCCCTTTTTGACAATGCCTCAAAAGTTGAGTATTCTGCTTTTGACTTTGAACTTGATAGTTTGATAGGTGGGTCTATACTAGAGTCTTTAGCAAAATTCGTATTTTCTTTTCTTTGTTTGGGATTTAGAAACGTCTTCACAGAAGGAATCTTTTCTTTGTGGGTATACACTTTTCTTTTTGCTATCTTAGACTTTTTATGACTTGAAACATCTGCATCTTCAGCTGATGTACTATCAATTAAGTCCTCACTAAGTACTGTAGTACCGCTCATAGAGGGTACTGTTTTAAAAGCAGTATTATCAAACCTATCTAATGCAAAGCTGTCATTACAAATATCTATTGTATCTTTATGTAGACTTTCGTCATCCAAAATGGTGGCATCATCATATCCTTTTGTTTTCTCTATCCAAGACTTGAAGAGAAGATCTTCCCTATCCACTGGCTTGTCGGTATTACACAAGTTGAGAGGAGTTGGATCCTTATTTTCTGTCTCACTGTCGGTGGTAGATATTGCAAGGCTGTTGCAGAGTGTTGAGTCACTGTTGGATAAGTCATCGTGGTAGCTCTTGGTGATTTTAGCCTGTACAGAAGAGAAAAGATAATGTAGATACTATAGCTCTATGTTTGTTAAAATTGAGGTCATAAGAAATTGAAGGTACGACACAGTTTTTGATTTTATTTCCTCTTTCTCTACTAATTTTACATAGTATTATTATACATAGTATTATTATACATAGTATAAATATTATTATACATGATAGTATTATTATATATAGTATAAATATTATTATACATAGTATTATTATACATAGTATAAATATTATTATACATAGTATAATTATAGTCATTCATTCATTCTTTCATTCATTCATTCATCAAATTTGCTTGGAACCTTTTTTCAATGACTGTGCCTCTCCATTTCTTCCCATCCTCCATACATATACCTGTAGCCTGGTATCCAGTCTTACGTGATTGGGGGTGTTAGGGTGTTCGGGCAGGTTGTGCCTTTGGGGGCCCTAATAGCTTCCCCCGCCCAGTGCAACAGGCCGTCCCGGTAGGAGTGTTACGCTAATAAGAGACAGTATCGCGGCTTGGGATTTGGTTTCCCCCCAACACGTGGAGGGCTAATCAATCTCTCGTGAAATACACACCGGGAAACCTATGTGAGGCGGGCGGGACAGAGCTCTTGCGGCCCCGACCACGATCAGACTGGATACCAGGCTACCATACCTGTTAGTGTTACTCACCTTAGTGTCCCTGGCGTGTCCCCTGGGAAAGATGTCATCAGGGCTGACAAAGTCCGGCAGGAGCCTCGGCTGACGGGCACGGCCGCTCCGTCTCAATGCCATGTCACCGTCAACACTGCACAGGCTGTAAACAACAACATTAGCAACAACAACCAAAGTCCATTGGACACAACTCCCTTACAGTAGGACCTCTTAAGTTATAGGCAGAATTCATTCTTCCCGAGGACAATCTCAGATTGGAACGATCTTGAGGCAGATATTGCTCTCTCCTCTTCTTTGGAGGAGTTCAGATGTAAGATCTAAAATCTGAACCCCCAGCATGCACCTACTACCAGTTTTATAGGCAGCAGAATCTTCAAATAGATGAAGGTGGCTGCCTTAAACGAAAGAAGAAGAAGAAGACTATTGGCTGTGAGCTTCAGTGTCTCAATGCATTCAAATACTGAAAGTCAGCTTGTGACGAATCTGAACCAAGTCAACCTTATGTACTTGCTTCGTTATTATCCCTCTAGATTTGGTCTCTTGGTGCTGGGTCACTTGGTGCAGATTCGTCAAGGTTCTTAACAAGCTGAGTTTCAAGTGACAGTTTTCTGTAACTTATGAAAATGATCTCTGTAACGTTATATTTATCGATATTGGTATCTTCTTCTTCTTCTTTGGCATAACAACTAAATACAACTTTACGTGCTACAGATCTTCAGTTCCAAGCAAGATCAAACAAACCTGATACAACATAAGATTTCCCCGGACCCTCCCCATTCATTCACCCGTAAACACAGATTTTGGTGAAGCGAAACTGCGACAACATTTCTGACAACCCAACAGCCCGATACAACTAAAGTAGACGCTCCTACCTTCTGTGACAGCTTCTTCCTTCCTTCTGTAATCATCTTGGAATGTCTAAGTCTGACTGAAACATTGTCACGACTTTTAATGTCGCAGACAAACCGGAAAACTGTCACTGAAGTGTGCAAAAATCACAGCCTTACTGGTTGACCCCGTAGACGCCTAGTTATTTGGGGTGAAAGGTCAAAGATCATGCACTGATTACCCAAGCAAACACAGTATGTCAGATTGTAGACCAATGCGTATGGAATAAAAGAATGGATTTAGACACCAAGTGTCTTTCGAATTGAGGGCTATCAAATTATATATAACCCATTTCTTTGATACTATTTTGTTGTCTTGTGGTAAAAATTTATTTGGCGCTGAATGTATAAATAAATAAATGTATTAGTAAAAGCTGGAAGTCGAATTCACTAGAAGAAACACACACACGCACACAGAAACAGTCCGTAACCGCACCCAATTTTTAATGTATTACTTTGAAGAATATTCAGCAATATTTTCCCCAAAAATCTATAAAAGTCAGTTATTTGATCATCAAGAAGTTTTATTTCATAGATGAACCGAAAATCCGTGCATATGTCACAAAATATATAGAGCGCTGGTATGTAAATTAGCAGTCTTCTTCTTGGCTTGGCTTCGTTGTCCGAAGATTTCAGGGGCCTTTCCCTCTCCTTCTGCATGCCCGCTGGTGGCATGTATTGATAAATAAATCACAATATATTATATACGTGCAGTTCACAACAAATATCACAACAACCACTGCGAGACGAAAAAAATCATATATACCAATTTTATCTATCACCCCACTCGTCACAACTACTAGAGTCGCTATCACAGAAGTCGTCAATGAAAAATATGGGCTATTCTCATAATATGGTGATTTGCACTGATTTGTACACTCATAGGCAGGTGGTAGAACATCGACTTACATACAAAACAAAGAAAACTCAGGCAAAGCCATACAAAATGTCTCAACAAATTCTCAAACAAATGTAGGTTTGCGTAGATTATGTAAAGATCCGGGTCTTCGCAAGCCTTCTAGAATCTGAAAAATAATGAAAAAAAAATCAGTCGGCATGAAAAATTAAATATGCTATCATAGATCACAAAACTACCTGGTAACTTGTGGTCTACCTTGCATGTATATGAGGACCAAGTTACTTAGATCTAGAGTTTTCCACAAGTCAACACCACGAAGACACGTTTTTCAACAATGGCAGGTATTGCAGTCATTTCCTTATATGAAAATATTCTGATATGATACATTCATCCTTCCCTTAATTCTCTTCCAAAGGATGATACACAAAAACTGACCGAAACGCCTCCTATCCTGCAGTAGTCCCTGGGCACCTCGGCACGGCACAGTACTCCCACCGTGGGGTCGGTCCGTCCACATAACACCAGGGCCGGTTTCCCCAGTCCGGGTTCCGACAGTAGTTATTCCCGGCGAGGTCGTCATGCGGGTAGTTCTGGGGGGTCCTGGAGGAAAAAGGCAAGGTTCAGCTGTGTAGTTACCTCTATAAAAAAATGTACATGGAGGTTAAGTATTTGGTGTGTGCTGGTATAGGCAAGGAGGTATAGGTATAGGTTGTAATGGATATGGTTGGGTTCAGTTCAGTAGTGGACTTCAGGGAGTTCAGAGACTACTATCAAGAACAGACACTATAAGTGTTATTAAAATTGGGTCACTTTTTCCGAACAAAAATAGTGCTCACAAGAAAAGGGTTGGTTTTGAAGGACGCCAGGAATGCCGATCTTAAATATTTCCATTTTTTACGTAACTGTTTCTGTAAAGCCGGTATAACCACCCTTTGGCGTGGTGGCTGCTGAAAATATTACACCGCACGACCTGACACACCTAACCTAAGTTACACATCTAACCGTGAACGTTGTTAAGGTAGCGATAATGCCCCTACTGTACTTGCAGTGTTACTCGTACCTGGTGTGCCTGTGTGGTGACTGCGCCTCCCACGACTGACACGGATTTCCGTTCTCGGTAACGCGCGCCGTCCCGCGGTAATAATGCCCGTACCCGGTGAAGCAGTCCACTAAATGCACAAACAAGAATAACAACAGATAGCCTTTGAATGAATGAACGAATGAATGAATGAATGAACGAATGAATGATTTATTTTTGGCTCATTGAGGGTCGATGTACATTGGGATAGTGCGGTTTCAACTCAGTATGTAGATAGGGGACTACTAGTATAATATTGACCTTGAAAAATTGGGTTTCCAAGCCCTAAAAACTGCATTGGATGCCTTTAAAATAACAGTAAAGGAATAAGATGTATTTTTAAAGCACTTACTTTCCGGCACGAAGCAATGCTCCAGCTTCTCTTCTTGAGGTGTCAGCGTTTTTAATTGAAGAGAATACTCTGTAAATCAAAAGGTACATTAAAAACCATACAACTTTTGTGATTGCATGTTGGAATATATAGAAAAAAAATAAATGTTGTTTTCAATGTTCAAAATTGACTTCTTACCAGCTGTTTTTTCCAAGCTTGCCGTTAATTTATCCTTGCACTTGTGTAAGCCCTCCTTGATGAGTGTGACGTCCCCGCGGCACATGGCTTCGCTCTCCTGAAGCTTGTTGTACTTTTCCAGCTGCACCACGTCGGCTGGACACACTTTCAACAACGTTCGTTCCTTAAGCAACGAGTCCTTCTGCACCTAAGTTTTTCGGGAGGAATGTTGTTATTGTTGTTGTTATTGTGGGCTTGTGAATCTCGAAACAGATTCATTCGGGGGCAAGGGATCAAAGTTATCCTGGGTACTTTGATCTAGACTGGGTGCCATCGCATCCTATTTGTATGCCGGGGCTCCCATACTCCCGGCATAGAAATAGGATGGCACCCAGGCTAAATCAAAATGGCCACCCGAATTAACGGGCAGCCAATGGTTATTGACGCCCAATGGTTACAGGTGGCCAATGGTTACAGGTTGCCAATAGTTACAGACGGCCAATGCTTACAGGCGGCCAATACAGACACCTTTGCCCCCGAGTATCTGCTTGGAGAATAGCCCTCATTTCAAAAGGTGAAACGGTTCACAGTACAAAATGGTTACAAGAAATTGTACATCGAACCCTGCATCTTTTCATAATCAAATTTCCGGACTTGAGTCACTGAAAATATTTACTGTATTGTCTTTGACTTTTTTCATCAGGATATGGTACAAAAGACTGTTGGAATACAATAAACTGTGTTGTAATTGAATAACAAAAGTTGCGTTGGTAATGTTCGTAAACATGTAAACACAGTTTGCAGAAACAACACAAAGATTGCGGTTTACCTTGGGGGGTGCAGGTGCAGAGAAACAAGAGGCCAGGAGAACAGACAACAGAAGCACGGTACATCCCATGGTTACCGTCGACGTTGTCACAAAATCTATTAAAAATCAACAGGCAAGCACAATGAAATATAACGTTAAACATGCTGTCTAAAAATGTAGAATTTGCAAACTATGTTACATTGAAATGCAGTTCAATATAGTAGAATGCAGTTCGTATACTCAAAGATTCATCGCAGTGTAGCTTTTGTTCAAGCTCAAACAAGACATTGGTCTATACATGGCAAAAATGTACGAAATCCTAAGAATAACTGAAATTATATACTGAACCCATTTCCGTAGCCAGGGGGGTTCGGAAGAACCCCCACAAGGCTCTTAAGGTCCACTTTTTACCTAAAGATTTTTCTTTAAAAGATGGACTGATTTGTATCACCGCGAGGCTGGAATCGTCATCGAAAAAGTTATGTCGGATTTTTCCTTTGAAATCCTATAAAAAACGCAGGAATGATGCCATTTCAGAAGGTTCAATTTTCAAAATTTTCCCCATATGAGCCTTCGCCGCTCACTGGTCCCACGGACAGCGGGAAGCTCCCCCCCCCCTCAAAATCCTGGCTACGGGCATGGAACTTGGCAGAGGCGATGTAGCGAATGACATCTATGAATGAGTAATAAACGTGATTTGAAATGGGACCTTCGCCAGAATACAGTTCATATACTCAAAGATTCAGCGTAGCTAGTGTAGATTTTGTCCAAGCTCAAAACAAGGCCTTAGTCTATACAAAGGCCTAAGTCTATACAAGGAACAAACACAAGAAATCCTAAGAATAAGTGAAACTAGATAAATGCTATACTGAACTTGGCAGAGACGAAGTAGGGAATGACATCTATGAATGAGTGATCATCGTACCTATTCCTCAAACAAATGAAGTGTACCCAAGCTTGTACCCTGGGATAGCTTCAGGAGGCACGGACGTCGTGTGGCCACCGGCGGTGTTCTACACAAACTAACCGTTCCCTCAAGGACATCATTCATTAATTAAAAGTGACACAAACTAATCACGTCCTCCAAGTGTGCAGAGACATGCGATACGGGTTTTGAGTCCCGTGGGTGTAAGGGAGACTGCAGGGTCATTGTCTTCTCATCGTTCAGAGACTGTGTGGTCATTACTGATTTTCCCACCACGGCCACCTGCATAATATGTGTGATGAGAGGCTGGAGCATTGGGCTCAGAACCAAGAGGTCCCGGGTTCGAATCCTGCCATGTCATCAACCTTGTGCCCTTGGGAAAGGCACTTAACGCAACTTTCCTCACCTCGCTCAGGTGAAAATGAGTTTGCCAGAGTGATCATTATCAATAAAGAACTCTATTATCATGATCGTGGGCAATAAAAGAAAAACAAAAAAGAAGCTGTCTTTCAAGGCTTGTCCAGTCATCAGAGAAGTTGCCGAGGGATACTACTATCATACTAGTCTGGTAGAGACTAGGGGGGTTAAAATCATCTTTATTCCATACAAGATGAATGACATATTAAATACATAGCTAAAAACCTAGGACAATCCTTTGTCTCATGTTTAGGTAACAAGAGGAGGACGCAAGGTGGACAGACAAAAATACAATATACTAGTCACTGTCACTGATAGTACTAGTCACTGATAGTAGTATCATATACTAGCATCTTATAGGGATACTACTATCATACTAGTCTGGTAGAGACTAGTATGATAGTAGTATCATATACTAGTGTCATATAGAGATACTACTATCATACTAGTCTGGTAGAGACTAATATGATAGTAGTATCATATACTAGTATCATATAGGGATACTACTATCATACTAGTCTGGTAGAGACTAGTATGATAGTAGTATCATATACTAGTGTCATATAGGGATACTACTATCATACTAGTCTGGTAGAGACTAGTATGATAGTAGTATCATACCAGATCGGTCATGGCACTAGGTAGGTAGGTAGGTAGTATCATACTGGTAGAGACTAGTATGATAGTAGTATTATTATGATACTAGTCTCTACCAGTTTAACTAACAACGCGGGTTAAAAAAACTGTAGAATTTAGCCAAATGCATGTAGGGAGAATAATCGGCCAGGGGAGTTTGGCCACCGTAGAGTTCATTTGTCCGCTTCGGAGGGGGAAATTAACCTTCCCGTGGATTGACACTCTTGGTTCATTGTACTTGTTAAAGACATTATATAGTCTGCAATTATTCGTAGAATCGCCAGTCAGCGTTCCTTCACCACATCAGTGCAGGGTGTGGTCCGCAACTTGTTCAAGCATCCTTTAACAGAAAAGGAGGTAGGTGGACCATTAAAACAAAACTCCCTCTTGATCGAGAAATTTTAACTTGAAAAGCTGCGTTCTCGTTTTATCGGAGTTTCATCTACCTCTCGATCTGTATCTGAAAATGCTCCTTTTCTTTTATCAGAAACATTTTACAGAGTTAAATCTTAAATAGGGGGCATGTGTGTTTTCGGGCTATCTAAACTCGTTTTTACCAGCATCTGCAGTTCAAGAACCAATGAACACGGATATGGAAAGGGGTATTTTTTTTCGCGATTATAGACCCTCTCGAAATAAAACGGCGTAGAAAAGTCCTGGCCAAGTTAAAGCACCTCGTCTCAACTCATGAATATTCATGAGCTCGGCCCTTCCAGACGAGGCGAGGGCTCGGCCCTCTCGCGACCCGAGTTCGCCCGAGTCTTCCCCCGGAAGCGATCGGGTTACCGAACAAACTCGGGTGCGTTCCTCCCGGGCCCCGTGCCTTGTCTTCCACCGACTCACTGGCACCGCCCGAGACAGCCTGAGACCTCCTGCCTCACTCTGTACAACTCTCCACCACCCACCTGTGTAACAGAACTTCAACAGCTACAGGTGAGTCTACCCTTCTCTACTTTACATGCACCGTTATAATAGTATATCAGTGTGCGTGCGTACCTCCTATACTACTACCATAGGGAACTAGAAGAATAGTCGCTGAACATACTTAGGTGTGCCCTACCGCCTTCCTTTCTTTCACACGGGGCTAGCTTGTTTACCGCGCGATTGTTTTGTAATGAAGTATTTGTGTACGAATTAGCGACATGTTGGGGAGTCTGTATGTGTGTGTGTAACACAACCCTGCAACCACAGCTCTCTGTCCACTGACCGCTCCTGTGACAGGTACGAATGTACAGAACAAATTCCCACTTCTGCTGACCCCGTTAGCTGTACAGGGTGGTGTTCTCGGACCCAGTCCCTAAAGCACACGGGCTCTGTACCGTGAAGGAGCACTGACTCACCCCGGATCGGTTTTCCAACCACTATCTAAACACACAGCGTCCTTACATGTCGGTGTACTGTGGGGGGTTCGTGGGTTTGAGGTACTAACGTCTACCAGGCTTCCCATTTTTAATTGGGGTATAACAAAAACAAATAAGAAGGAAAACTAGACAAGAGAGGCAAGAGTTTTCTAAATTAACTATTTTCTTCTTTTTTTGGGGGGGGGGGACTTTTCGACGTTACTAAGACATAGACAAGGAAAGAGGATAGAAAAAAGAGGTGTCAAGTCACCCACGACAGGTTTATATATGTTGTTGAAAAATAGTATAATAGGCCAAATAACCTGAATAGTATGTCACGGGAGTTAGCTAGTCAGCCAGAGGAGTACAATTTGCAATTTGGCATATTATCAAGTCTATTTTACCAGTTCTACTATTTTTCAGCAACATGGGAGGACTGGTAGAGCTTAAAAGGTACGCCTGGGGTCCAACCTAGTTTTGCCAGCAGGGCTTGCACTTTGGGCCGGGGTCTCGACAAAACAAGGCGCAGGTCACAGACCTCGGTCATAAATTTTCCCTGCCTGTCACCCTGACGGCTGTGATTGTGATAATAAAAACTGCAATCTTAATTTTAATCTTGTTTTGCCTGACCAGGCCGCATTCGGCCGTGTGATTATAACGGATTGGTAGCCTTTACCAGGCTTCGGGAGGCGGCTGGAAAGAGAGTAGAAATCGGCCAAATAGAGAGATAGCATGCCATGGGAGTTGGTCTGCTGGAGAGCTGCAAACTGTTCTCTCCAGCAGACCAACTCCCCTGGCATGTTATCTCTCCATAGTATTTGGCCAATTTCTACTCTTTCCAGCCGCCTCCCGAAGCCTGATAGAGGCTACCGGATTGGATGTATTACCAGTATGGGTCTAGCTGTACGTACTTCCGACAAGGGCTCAACCGAACAAGAAAACCAATTTCTAGTAAAAACATTTGCAGGGAACGGTCGTTTGCGTCTAGTTTTGGTATGGCAGGTGGTTCAATTTCACATTTATCAAATTTAATATCCGCGCCGTCAAACGTAAAGCACATAAAATAAACACGCATGACGTCGGAAAGACGTCATTGGACAAACTTTCTTAATAACTTTATTGATAAGGTGGGTTATTTTTGGACACATGAATGTCATTAACTCGCATGTCGTTGCTCTGTCGTATGGCACGGTCAAACTTTCAGACCACACCCGATGTTTAACGAATTTCCCGTCTCCATATTGTGCAAAGTCATGTTTGTGTTATTGTCATTTTCTCAGCTTATCAGAGGTTTACTGTAAATTACCCCGAATGATATTTTGTCGTAAAATATACAATTTAAAAAAATCGTTTCGTCTAATTCAACACAGATATATTTCAGTATATCTATTATAGTCAAGGAGGTTATACTACCACCATCTTGATATAGTATATCTTACTCATAGTATTGCCTATTATTTCAGTTATCCTTGCTTTATTATGTTTACCGAAGGAAAACATCGTTTTTGCTCAGTTTCCTCTTCTTCTTGGGTGTTGGGTTACGTCATGTTGCAATTTTGTAGTAGGAGGGAGTTAGACTCCTGTCACCATATATATGAATGTGTTTGAGCAAAAATTAACAGAGCAGACCATATGCGAAGGTAAACATTATGCATTTGCTTTGCAAATATTACCTTTCTAGTATGATCATAATATAGTAAGTTAAGCCTTTATCAATGTTGTGATATTTTTGCCAATATTATAGCATCACCACTAATCGTAGCGGACACTCTATCCCAAAATGGGCCAATATGT